TTCATAAGAACTTGAGGATAAGAACTAGGCTTAACAAAGTAATGTATTGGAAGTAACAACAAATTGAAGTCATGTGATATTTCTTTATTAAATCACTCAGAAAGAAGGTCATATTTCAGTGATCTGGTATTAATTTATTTAAACCACATTTTAATAGAAAGGCAGGAAGAAAAGCCATGTAAAACATTATTCAAGTACAGATTAAACTTCAGTGATTCCTCTTGTCATTGAATTGGTGGGCTAATGTTTCTCTGTAAGAGGTGTGGGCGGGATGCACCCTTGCTCTGGCTATCTATCCTGTCAATCTTAATTACTAAATACAGGCAGGCAGGATGGAGGGAGCACTTGTTTCACTAAATGGAATACTGAGTAATGAACTAGAAAAACTATATAGATCTGATTTTTTTTTTTTTAGATTGTATCATATAGCCTCTCTAAAAGACAGATTGCAGATTTTTTAAAAACAGAGATGTCATATTGTATTTAAAACTCATTTTATATAGCTCATTGGAGAGGCGGTGTAGCAGATGTCTCCTAGGGCTGGTGTGAATTCTGAGTTTGCTTTGTGAGCTTGAAAAAGTTTCTGAGTTTCTTCAGTCCACAGCTTTCCCATCTTCAGAGCTGAGGTCATAACATCTCAGTAGGTACACAGTCAAGCATAGCCTTCCGCTTTCCACCTCCTGCCATCTTTTTCCATTCAACAAATAATTATCGAAAGCATCTGTGTGCGTTAGGTCCAGTCCTATGCGCTGAACTCTGCGAAGAGGTCAAAGTGAGGCAGGAAGGTATCCAACCGGCTCTCTGTGATGCAGTTTATAGAAGTAGAGTAGAACCATCAGCACTTCATTAATGCTGAAGAAGCACGAGGTATAGAGCAACTCCATTTTTAGGGGTAAGCAGGCAGCAGCATTCATTTTAAACATCTTTTGTGCTTAATGGTCAGTTACTACTTGGCAAACATTAAACCTTTGTAATTTATGGCCATAATTTAGCTTAACCTAAACACTAGGCTGGTTTGCCGTGCATGGCAATTTGATTTCTGTCACTGGGCTAAGAATATACCAGATGTAGCCATCTTTACAGTTATCACTATCAGAAGTTATTGGTTTTATTACACTGGAACCATCCAAGGACATGCGGTGTTGTCAGTTTGATTATAGTTCACAGGACTTTGGAATTGCGATACATATTGAGCCCCTACTGTGTGGCAGGCCCTGGGAAAATGAGAAATGTCCTCGCCATCCTAGAACCCCTGGTCCTGGGGGAGGGTGAACAGGGCATGATACACACCATCCTTGCTTAGGTGACAACTTGATAATTCGACTGGTCCCAGCATTATTCCTGTTGTAGTATGCTGTTAACCTATACAAAAGAGGAATTGTAATTTTATAATTTGATAAGATATTAAGGTCATTCAGGAATGCCATGGCATTTACCCAGTAATCCATCACTGATTCTGAATGACTTGCTGTCATTGTGAAGCAGCCAGCCATGCTGCATTTGACAGCAGTACTCTGTTCAGATTTGTCAGATGTCATATTTGGGGGGAAGCTGGCAACTATGAATTTTTCTCCTTTCTTCCTGATGGGCGAAGACTTAGCCCTTAGCCTCTGCTTCTGAGTCTTGTTTCTGTCATAGCGTGATGGAAATGAGTGAGGCTCTGTCCCCACCACTTTGTTTTGCGACCCTTCTAGACCCATCGTGCGAGTGCACTGGTGGTGTTCACAGGCCTCCCCCTCCTCCTTACCCTTGGTTCCTATCTGGGTATTATGCTGATCTGGTGTTTGTTCACTCAGTAATTATTTCCTAATTTTTTTTTTTATAGTGGGGACAGGAACAGGGCTGAGATTTGGGGTCTCTCTTGGTGAACTAATTACTTGTTACCCTGGGCAGGCTAATGATTTGATGGCACTTCAAACTGTTACTCTTTAAATACTTGTTCGTGACATTTTTGAGAGAGGAAAACAAGCACTCTATGAGAGGGAAGAGAGGAAAGAGGCCCTCTGTTCCCCTTTTGCTAGTTCCCAGGATCTTAACTGACCAGAAAAAAAAAGAACAGATTCCTTATCTTTCCTTCCAACCACATTCTGTACAATGCCTGAGAAAAGTTCTGCTAGATGCTATTTTTGTTTAATCTAGTTAAGTTTCCAGAGATGTTTCAACATCCTGTTGATGAATTGATACATGGAAGCCACTGTAATATCCAAGCCCCTCAGTCTAGCACTGGCAAGAGACACTGGGGTAGGTGCCGGGGATAATGCCCCAGTCCTCAAGGAACTTGAAATATGATATACTGTCAAACAGCGTGAGAGGACTATTAGTCCAGTGTTCCAGGAGCAGAGGTGGAAGAGAAGTGGCTTCAGCCTGTGGAGGTCAGGGTGGCTCAGGGAGGTGGTTCTTGGAGGTGATCCCAGATGGGGCAGATGGTAAAGCGAAATGTTCCTTTCAAATTGATGAAATAGGATTCTTAAATTTCACATCACCTAAAGCCTTTCACGTAAGGAATTGCAAAAGCAAGCTGAATAAATATGACATTGCAGCGATTATGGCCATAACTGATGACCTGTGAAATGACATCAAGTGACTATGAGGGGATTCTGAACTTCTTGCTAAATCTTAAATTTTTAAATTGTATTTATCACCCAAGTGGAAGGCCATTGTCAGATTCCAAAATTTTACAGTAGTTCTTTGCTTTACTACAAAGGAGTTTGTTTTGTCAATCTCCATTATTTCTATTGACAAGCAAGGAATAAGAGCATTCAAACTTATCAATTTTCACAGTAAAAACCTTGGGGCCTTTGTTTTTCTCTCAGGAGGCTGATTGCACCTACAGTTCCTTAATGTCTTTTGGGGAACCTTCAGAAAGGAGCTCTTATTTAAGAAAGGAAATTCTAGTGTTTTGCTTGTCTTCCAGATTTGGCGATGACTTTCTGGAATTGACTTTTTAAGTGAAAATACATGTCTTGTGTCCTGCGTATGGGGAGAGAAAATGTTTTTGAGGGAGTAGGTGATGCCAGTTTTCTAACGCTCGTTAGCGTAGCAAACTGGAGAAGCCACTGCCGCTGCCTGGGCAGCGGGGCCTGTCAGAACTCCTAGGCGTCCCAGTCCTATTTTTATCCTGCCTAACATGGACTAGTTTCTCTATTCTAAGGGGCTTTGCCATTTAGTATTTTCACATTCTCATCCTTCCAGCTTGTACTTTTTGTTTGCTGCTAGGGAGGAAGAAGGGCAATAACTTTCTCTATAGTTTCTAAAATTAAGAGTGATTTGGCTTTAGCCTTGGTAAAAAAACTGAACTACATTTTGTTGTGTGTGTGTGTGTGTGTGTGTTTGGTTTTGTTTTGTTTCTTACTTGACAGCAATGGCTGCACTCTGAGATGACAAGTTGTCATTGTGAGAGAGCTTTCATTGAGGTCTACATTTAGGGGTTGGGGGCAAAAATGCTAGAATTTATGTATAAAAAAATGTGTATTTATTCTCACATGCTTAAACTCCAGTCACCCTTAAGGTACTGTCCATTCGATGCAATACACCTACTGAGACATTTTTTTTGCCACTGCTTAGAATAGGTTTTGAACTTGTCAATTTTGATGCCTTTTAGGGCTTCTGTTGTTTATTCCTTTCACCTCTTCCACATTCGCAAAGTCTTTTCCTTTGAGGGCTTTTTTTCATCCTGGGAAACAGAAAAAGTCACTAGGGAGGAGATCTGGTGAATAGGAAGGTTGGGGCACGGGGGTCTTGTCGTTTCTGGTCGAAACAGCTGAATACTCAGAACAGTGTGGGCAGGTGCACTTGTAAATCACCTATTATGAAATGAGCAAATGTTGGAAGAGTTCAAGAAAGGTTCACTGGAGCCCCATGCAGCCTCTCACAACAACAACAACTGGTACACTTACACACATGGGTTCCTAGAACACTCACCTAGTGGGAGAAGCCTGTAGTGCCCGGGGCCAACCCTCCAGAAAATAATTCCAGTTTTTTGAGGTTCCCCCCTCATATATCTTCTCAGCAAAATGTTCCTCTGGTTTAGGTAAACGTTACATAGAAAAAAAGAATGAAACTTGTTGTTAATTAAACATATCAGAAAGCATTCAACACAACTTAATCAAAGAAATGCAAAATAAAACTATTTTTTCATATGGAATTAGTGAAGTTTTTTTTTTAAATGATGATTCCCATGTCTGCTGAGCATTCTGTTCATATATTGTGTATAGGAAAGAAAATTAGCATAACCTTCTTGGGAAACAATTTGATGTTATATATCAAAGCCTTAAAATGTTCATGCTCTTTGACCCATTACTCTCAATTTTGGAAGTCAGTGCAAAGGAAATATGAACAGAGTACAGAGATATTTACAGCATCATTAGTAATAAAAAGGAAAGTCTAACATTCTCTAGCAAAATGGTTTTGTAAACTATGACATAACCATGTATGAACTACGTTCAGAGAAACTGTAACATTGAGACAGCCTATGAGAAACGATGAGGCAAAGGAGATGTCAGTGTTGTGCCATCGTACTTTACATGTAAGTGGCAATGCAGCAAAAGCCAGAACAAAACAAAAAACTTGAAAGGAGTAAACAATCTCAAATATGAAGCCTTTCTCCTGCCCCATGTTTCCCTATTTTCTGTAAGAAGCTATATATTTTCAGTGGAGTTCTCTATCTTTTACTTATGAAATGAGTCATGCCTCAGGCACGTGCTTATCTCCTTTTTCACTAAAAATTTAATGTTCACATTTTATGCTTTATAAATTGTGTGGTGATGAGACTAAATCTGTAAATTGTGACAGTGATATGTTTATTTCCTGGGTATTAGTTAACACCTTTTGTGACAGGTCAGAAGGTGATCTCTTTAACTCATTTTCTCTTAAAGTTATATTTTGTGTGTTTTATAAAGTTGTTATGGACGTTGGACATTTTAGAACCACATAAATTGATGAATTATGTTACAGTCCTGTGATGCTTAAAATATAACAATATGTTTATGATTTCTCTTTAGGAATATTTCAAAAAGAAACTAATTGCAGAGGTTTCGGTTGACCAGCATTCATAGGGTAAGATTAACATTCTGAACTGTGAACACACGGTAAAGATAATTACTATTATATTGATAGCTTGGGGCTAAATAACACAGAATACTTAGTATGTAAAAGAAAAGTAACTTTTTATAGATGGTTTCAGTAAAATCCTTTTGATATTTTTAAGCCAGCTAAACAGAAAATTAAATCTTGTATACACTTGGGTGAAAGGTTATCTTACTATGCTTTGTCAGTTTTGTGTATAGGGAAGTGTGTGTGCTTGTGTTTGATATTGTCATTTTTTTAACATTAAAGATCTAAAGAATATAATAAATGTCTCAGAGATTTAGACTGCATGACTTCATGTCTGTATTTTTCTGATTTTTGTTTAAGGGAGTATTTTTAATGCATAGAACTGGTAGGCCATCTTTCCATTAAGTAATAGATGGCTGTACTTTCCTAGAGTAAGTCAGAAATAAACAAGTCCTGTGCGCTGTTGCTTCCTGCAAACATCCTTCTTTTATAGCTGTGGAAGACTAATCTTAAATTAGTTCTGTGGCAGAGCTTTCGATTTGACATAAGAAAGGATTAATTTTCATACTGCATTAAATAGCATGATCCTCTAGTGTTGTAAATACAACATATGTCTTTAAAAGTGTGTCACCCAGTTCTGAACATACAGTCCAGGTGAAGCAGTGGTTAGGACAGTGGGTCTGTACCCTTGTAGTCTGAACACCCTTCTTATTATAGATCCTTTGACTTCCTGAGTATATCCACATCTCCCTGCTGCTTCATTGACTTGATTATAAATTTTTAAAAGCTAATATCATCAGCTATTCCTCCGCTTATGACTCCTCAGTGGCGGTTCCCTCACTCTTGGACTATTTATTATCCAAACTCTTTACCTTGGCTGTAAGCCCTCTGTCTCTCTTCTACTTGCCAAAGGCTTCTAACATGAGTGGCCTCCTTTCTGATCCTCACACATCCTAAGCTTCTTGCTCCTCCTTCCTGAATGATCTTCCACAGTATCACCACCTGTCTGGCTCCCTTTAGATCTATGTTTTAATGGAAGTCCCTCTAAAGAGGCCTTCCCTGACCATCCATTCTAAAGTAGCTTTATAGTCTTCATGGTGTTTCTGATTTTATTGTGGTTGTTGTCTTGCTGAGAACAGGGGTCTTGTCTATCTTACATACCTGTATTTCCCTGAACACTTAGTACTCGCCCTGGCACATAGTAGGCATTCTAAATATTTGTTGCATGAACAGATTAAAGTGCTGACCTCTCTCTGACAAGCGCTTGCTGCTTTCAGTAATGTTTTCTCCATTTTCTTGGATTATTTTGCTTGTATGAAACCAAATATGGAACTTTTTAGGTTTAGCCTTCATCTCACTCATTTGGTACTAAAGTGACAGTATAATTGGTTGCTCTCAACTATGCATGTTTTCTATGATAGAAATATAAATCCTGTGAAAACAGAAACAAGGCCTCATAGCTCCTTGGTATACCTTTGTAGTTTTCACCTCCATAATTGAGTACACATAAATATTTACTTTAGAGAAATGGTTAAGACTAATAATTGAATCATATTTTTAAGTATTTCAAGAGCATACTGGTTTGTCTGCTCCAGAGCTAAAAAAAAAATCTCATTTTGAATTAGTTGAAAAATTATAACTTGGAATCACTCTGGACTGTATTTGCAACTTCATGTTCCAAAACCCTGGTGGAGTTTTTTGGGTTTTGTTTTTTTTTTAAATTAGGAAGGTCTATTATTAACTAGGCTACATGGTCAGAATAAGTGCTACCAATTTTCCAATTGTTTTCAAATTAGGAAACTTGGGCATAAGCCCATGTTCTACCCTGCGACCCCAGAGAAGCCACTTGAACACCTCTGAACTTCAGTTTCCTTGTTTGTAAAGAGTTGTACTCTGATCTCTATGGTTTATCCCTGGAGTAAATAGTCTATGTGATTCTGCTCTTGTGAAAGGTAAGTCACCTATGGACGAATTAGGAGACGCAAATGGAATGATGATCTCTGCTTTCAACTAGTCATTTCAAAGGAGAGTACAAGTGACTCACAAGAGACTGCATAGGCACTGAGGGTGGGTCTGTTTTATGGCTGCTTACTGTGGAGCGGGGGGCAGGAGTCAGGGAAACATTTTTATAAACAATGAAGCTGGTGGAGAAGGGTGTGAGGTTACACATTTTAAGGATTATACCACCATTGGTGCCTTCAACTTTCATTTTAAATGTGTTCTAGATAATTTGGGAGTTCACTAAAAGCATCCAAGAACTAAGAGGGCTTTTCCTTAAAAGAGAATTACCATCTAAATTAAATATATGATGTATTCCATAACCATCAGGAATAAAAAGTAAAGCAATGTTTCTTAAAATCCATAAAAACTCAGCTTTTATTAGGATGTCTAGAGTTTTCCCATAGTTTTTCATGTTCAGTTACTTTCTCCTCAGGCTTTAAATGATTAGGGTTATTTTCCTAAAATTTAGAATATTATTTATGATTGTTCATAGACGCATTACCACTCCACTGCTTTGGGTATGAAGCTGCAGAATGGAAGTCACACATCTCTGTTCTCCTTTGGTTTCTCTGTGTTATTCGACTATGATGTCAGATGCTTTCCTTGAAACTCTTTGACTTTGGTGCTTGAAAAATACTGTGCTTCTCCTTTATTTCATTGACCCTGCTTTGCTATCCCCCTTTATTTTGTCCGATAGTCCTTCTTCATCTGATATACTATCCAGGGGTGAAAAGTTCTATTATTCACTGACTAAATTCCTTCTCTTGAAGAATTCCTTTCTATGGCACCGTCTACTGCTTAAATACTCCTGACTTCCTCTGGGGGATTTGAAGGTGGCTGCAAATATTGAGTGATTCTTCCTAGCAAGAGATAGAATGTTTCCTCTCCCTTTGTAGCTGGGCTGGTACTGCTTATTTTGACCAATCCAATGTAGAGTGATTTCTAAGTCTGGACCTTAAAGAGATTTTTAGCTTCTGCTTTTGTGCGCTTGAAAGTTTCCTTCTTAGAGCTGAGCCGCCTTGCTGTGAGGAAGCCCGCACAGCCGTGAGGAGGAGCGGCCAGGTTCTGGTCATCAGCCCGAGCGAGCTCCAGACCAACAGCCGGCTCTTGCAAGGGCCAGATCTGGGATTGATTCAGGACCTTCCAGCCCTACAGCATGGAAGCCAACACCGTGTAAAACAGAACTGCCTCTTCATCCCATGGAATCATGAGAAAGGATAAATGATTATTTTGGCTAAATTTTGGGATGATTTGTTACATAGCAATAAAGAGCCAAAACAAATACTAGTACCTAGAAGTGCAGGAATACCATAACAAAACATCTGGCATTGGCTTTGAGACCAGGTGGCAGTGAAGACTTGAAGGGCAGCAAGAAGGCTATTAAATGTTGGCTGGAAGAACAATGAGGAAACTGCTATTGAAGAATATAAAATGGTACCCTTGTTTTTCCACAGTGACAGAAAAATCAGCAAGGCTGTCCCCTACAATGACTCGAAAGATAGAAAGTGAACCTAATGAATTTGTGGATCTAGCGTAGGAGATTTTTCCAACAGAATATTGGAAGTGCCAATTAACTTCTTTTTTCAACCACCTATCATCAAAGTACTGCAGAGATGAATTAAAGAAGAGACTGTTCAGAGTTTAAGGAGACATTAGGGGAAATATTTTCTTTCTAGAGTCACAAATAAAATTGTTTCTCATGGCCAGCTTCTATACCCAGCAAATACTCTAAGAAATGGCCTCAGGTCAAAAGATCAGATCTGGAGCACTACTGCTAGTAAAACTTGGCCTCCAGGTAACAATAAAAGCCAGGGCACAGCTGTAAGACCTTGTATTAAGATTTCAAAAGATTTAAGGCCCAGCCTCCTAGATCTCAGCTAGGCAGAAGGGCTCTAGGAGGAATCTTAAGGGTATTGTCTCATAGCATCATGGACCTAATTTAGGTGAGTTCAAGACTGAACTTGATGCCGTTGTAGAATAAAGCTTTGCAGGGGCTGGGGGGAGCTTGGGAGAGGGTGAGTATGCTCTGTATGGATGGGAATGGAAATCTTCTGTGGACAGAGAATAGACTGTGATGGACAAAACCTGGCTGCACATTCCTTGACACTCCTCCCATTGAAAGGTGGTGTTTGCTTCCTCGCCCCTCAGATCTGCGCTGGCCACTTAACGCCTATGACCAATAGAATGTGTTGAATGTGACTCTGTGTAGCTTCTAGGGCTCTGCCGTAAAAGATCAGCAGTTTTCCCCTTTGTGCTTGGAACACACCCTCTTAGAACCCAGCCACAGTGCTGCGCGAGGGACTCAAACAGCCACGTGAAGTCTCACAGGGAGTTACCTGCCCGCAGTCAGCCCCAACTGCCTGCCTGAGGAATGAGGACATTGTGGCTCTTCCGGCTATCTTTATGCTAGCCAGCACCATGAAGTGGAAGAACCACCCACAGAATCATGAGAAATAAAACCATATTTCTTTTAAAGCCTTTAAGGTTTGGAATATGCAAAAAAGCCAACATCCTTCCTATCCATAAACTATGAGTTCTAGCCTCTCTCCGGGAAAGGCTTTAGATTCAACCTTCCAAATATCTGAATGCACTTTTTTCAGCTTTCTACATTTGTATTTCAGTTCTTTATTGTACAAATATTTATTGCGCACTGTGTGCTAGAAACTGTGGACGATACTACGATGGCATAGCATCAAGATCTGAATCTATTCGACTCCTGCTTTTCCATGGACCTCTCTGATGTTGACAAGTGGTGTGAATTTTCATTTACAGTGACTATTTCAGTCTTTGCTTGCTTTTCAAGAGCATTAAAGTTTTTCCTTCCTATTTCTGGCCCACGTGATTGAAATAGTCCTTCAGCTGCCTCCTTGACTCTAATCCCTCTTCCTTAAATCCATCCTGCTAATCTCTACTGCTCTGTGACTCACTATTTTTCTGCCTCACAGAGCTGAGCCTCTGAGGGGTTCATGTGGGAGGTGATAGCTCTTCTTCTGCAGTCTGTGGAGGGAGGTGTATCCTAAACATCTAGTGAAATGTCCAAAAGACTTTAAAGGTAGGCACTATTCTCAGATATTTTATTGCCCGTCTGTCTTGTAGGTTTTCTCCTCCTGGGGAGATTATTATTATTTTGGCCTTACCTAGGTCAAACTGAATTGCTCCATGGGAGTGGGACCTGGATTTAGGTTTCTTTTAATGGTGCCCCAGGTGATTATAATGTGAAGCCAAAATTGAGAACCACCGTCATCAATTTGTGAAACTTATCAGTGGTCTCTGCACCAGCAGCAGCCACATTAACTGGGAATTAGTTAGAAATGCACATTCTTGGGTCCTACTTCAGACCAAATGAATCAGAAACTCTGAGGGTAGGACCTCTTTGTGTTTTAATAAGCTCTCCAGTGATTTTCATTAATCTTAAGAGAAACACTTTCCTAGATAAACCTTAGTTCCCTTCTAGGTCTCAAAACTACAACTAAATTTGGGAAGGGTGTTATTTGAAAGTTGTTATACTAATAAGATCGGAAACAGTTGATAAGGGACATAAACTGGCATGCCAAGCGTCTTGCTGGCGACACCCCTCTTTATTTAAAATAAAGGACCAAATTAATCAGGGATATTGATGCTTTGTTTCCCAGAGAGAGAACTCAAAGAGGTGAGTTTAAATTTCAGTGAGATATATGTTAGAACCAAGAAACGTCTTGAAGTAATGCTAAACATTTTGATATAAAATGACTTTTACATCAATTTTCCATGAGAGTAAGTAGACAAACTCCATTTTGAACTGTTTGGCTATATCCCTGCCTGAGGTCAGAGGCAGGGATCTTTGAAGTACCTTCCAGTTCCTAGCATATAATGACTCTAAATACCATCTGATCACCATTTGTTTATTTTTTTTCCCTTGGTTATTTTGGAAATGCTTTCAAAGTATAGGGAGGGACTAGGGACAAGTAAAGATGCTTAACTTGAGTGTTGTTCCAGTCTTAGAGACTTTGGGGTGAGATTGTGAAATGAATTCATGTGCTTTGAAAAGCTTTTATGATTTTTTAATGAGGTTCAAAAGCTAAAGGAATAGGATTAGGACCATAAAACCCTTTACTTTTAACATTGTTTCTTTGAACTGATTTAGTGCATTTGTGTATTAGAAATAAAGATCTGATTTGGATTGAGTCCTCATTGTCTGCAATAATACGGTCTGGAAAAAATTTCCTAGACACACAAACAGTATTAAATTTTGTAATGACAAAAGACCGCTATGCTCTAGCTCTCCAGTTAAACACTTCAATGAGAAAAATTAACATCAGTTAATATATAGGAATGCTTGGGACTTTTCATACATCATTAAATTCAGATGTTATATATATTTATATATTTACTCTTAGATCAGTGGAAAATAGTGGTACAAAATGTTAGCTGAGAAAATAGATTACATAATATGTAACTAGAGGCATTGCAGAAAACTACGTTTTCATCCTTGTTTTTCAAAAGATTGTAATAGAACCCAGTTATAATGCAGATATTGGGATAAATTGATATCTTAATCTGTTGAGACTGCTATGACAGACTACTGTAGACTGGCTGACTTAACAAACATTTATTTCTCACAGTTCTGGAGATTAGAAAGTCCAAGTTCAAGGTGCATTGTGTCTGATGAGAGCGAGCTCATTTCCTATTTCATAAGCAACCATCTTGCTGTGTCCTCACTTGGCAGAAGGGGGCAAGAGAGCTCTCTGGGGTTCTTTTTATAGGCATACTACTTCCATTATCAAGGAAGTAGTGACCCATTTACCTCCCAGAGGTGTCACCTAATACTATCACACGGCGGGGGGTGGGGGGGGATTTGCATGTGTATTTGAGAAGGACACAAACATTCGGCCAGTACAGTTAAAGAAGAGACTTAAATATTCAACTTTTTCTTTAGCTATTGAGAGACCTGAAACTGGCATAGTTCATTGGATTGAGACAGTGTGGTCTGGTGGACCAGGCTTGATATTTGAGGACATAGGTTCTCTTTGTATCTATTTCTTCTTAGTTTTGTCACCTTGGACATGGTAACTTCTTTGCGCCTGCTTTATTTTACATGTTTATAAAATGTGAAAAATAACATTCACCTCAATGGCTTGTTTTAAGTATGAAATAAATATAAATGAAACTGATTTGAAATTGGGAAACTAGATATTAGATTATTATTACTACTAGATTTTTGTTGGTTCTTTTATTGACAGGGAACTCATCAAAGGAAATCTGTATTAGGTGATTAGAAGACAAGTTTATAATTTTTAAAAAGACAAAAGTTCTTTACAAATAATTTTCTTTCTTTATTCTTTATTTATTTTCTTTAGAATAAATATGGTGAACCTGAAGTAAGTAATAGTTCCCTAACAGATTAGTTACAGTAGTTTCTCACTATGATTACTTAAAAATCTTACTATAGCCCTAGCCAGTGTGGCTCAGTTGGTTGGAACATCATGCCATAAACCAAAAGGTCGTTGGTTCGATTCCCAGTCAAGGCACATACATAGCCAGGTTGCAGGTTCTGTCCCCAGTCAGTGCACATGCAAGAAGGCAACCAGTTTCTCTCTCTCTCTGCCTCTCTCTCCTCCCTTCCCTCCCTTCCTCTCTCTCTAAATAGCAATGAATAAAATATCTTTAGGAAAGGATAAAATAAATAAAAACAAATATTTTACTATAATTGGAAATGTATATCTCTGCTTTCATAGAAATACTGTGTTTAAAATAGAAAATGTATTTGTAATTTATAAAAACTGTATGGTACACCAGAAGTACCATCATGGCTAAATCACATTCTGGAATTATGCAGTAATATCTTTTCTGGCACATTACAGATGCAGTGGAAGAATATATATGTAAAATGCTTCACACATCAAAAGTCTTTATCATGCTTGCTGCACATAAATACAGTTGTGTGTCATGTGTTCTAAGCCTCTGAAAAATAAATTGTGGATGTGAAACTCATGCTCCAGTGGTGTTAAATATGAATTATTAGTCTATATCTAGGTTGTCATGCACACTAACTGTGCTCTCTGGCTTGCAAAATAGTTTGATACTGGTAAGTAATTATTAAGCAGACTTTACACATAAATTGGTAAATCCTAAGTAAATTTCAGACATGTCCAATTTTTTGATCTTTGAAAAATGACAAGATCATAAGATTATTGCTAAAGATATATGAAATACAATTTGGGGTCAGTATTCTGAACTGGATTTAAATATTTAATAAACCAAAATAGGATCATATAATCAGGGCAATTATCAAATATATAATAACCTTCCCAGCAACTTTCAGCAGTTAAATAGGCACTAAAAAAATTTTCACACCCAATTTAAAATATTTTGGTTTTAGAATATTGTCACATTTCAAACCGATTAGTATATGAGGTCTGTCCAGAAGGTATCTGGCCATGTAATATGAAAAAAGAGGTATTTATTGAAGAAGATATAAGAAACCTGTACATAGGACAAATGACCCTCAGTCTCCTTTAAAGTAGGCACCTTGGGACCCCACACAGTTCTCTCAATCTCCATCAGCCATCCTTCCATATTTTCCTGAAACTCATTGACAGCCTGAAATCTCTTCCCTTTCCAACGTGATTTTAGTTTTGGGAAAATCCAGAAGTCACAGGGCACCAAATCTGAGTTGTAGTGGGGCTGAGTCACCTGGGCAATTTGACATTTCACCAAAAAATTCTGCATGAGACACAATGCATGAGTGGGTGCATTGTCATGATGAAACTGCCGATCACCAGTTGCCCAGAGCTGCGACCTTCTGAATCATCAGAATAGTTTCTGTGGGGGAATGTTCAAGCTTAACGCAAAATTTGATGCAGATTCATTGCTCTATTTGCTCAGTCATTTTCAATGTGATGGCCACAAAGCACACACATTCACTCAACAACATCTATCATCCCCAGTGACTAGTACAGCAAAGTAAGTCATCATTGTTCACACATGCATATTCCAGTCCACTCTCCTTGGCTGCCAGGTTACATCGATGTGGCACAAACTATTCTCTTTATATTAACAATGGTTGGACTTTTCTGGACAGATCTCTTATATGGAATATAAACGATTGCAAATGATTGTTTGAAGATGCTAAGAATGGCTTTTACTTACCTCAAAGGAAAAAAAAACATGAATTTAAAACAGTACCTATACTTAACTATATCATAATTTCAAAGAACTTCAGCTGTATTTCTGAACTGTGTCTTAAAAAGTTATTTACTGTGACCATTTCTAATGAAATCAGTAGGCTAAATTTTAAGAGCTCTGAGTCTTGTTATTTGGATGGATGTGCAGTTTAAAATTAGGTGCAGAAATTATAGTGTTTGACAGGACATCTGATAAATAAGACAAAGTGTGTGTGAGGACTGAAGTGAGAGAAATTAACATTTGTAGACTGGGAAAAGCTAAGTGTTCATCTAAGTGTGTGGATATGGGATCTTAAAATCTGTTATGTCTAAATTTCTATAGAAATTTTTCTGGAACTTAAGGGAGTTCAAGGAGTGAGTATGATCTGATGTGTAAGTGGGAGATATATATATATATATATATATATATATATATACACATATATATATATATATATCTTTACTAGGATATGCCACAGAGTGAACAGTAAACTGATTTGTGAAAATTTATTTCCCACATTATATCTTATGATGGAGAAGTTCTCTGAATACAGTATCTCCAATTTTTTTAAGTAACTGCAGCTATTTCAAGATATCTATGTTTTCTCACAGAATGAAGACAAACACAGAAATGGTGTGTCTAAGAAATTTTAAAAGGTGTAGGCCTCCTGATTGAAGCGTTGTTGAAATATTGGAATCATTTTTTTTATTGACGTAAGTATAAATATTTAAAGTATATTACTTTGGTCAATGTTGACTTGTGTCCTTTGTCAAATAAATATTCATTCCTGTCAAATACCTTTATCATTGTTAGAACTGTTTGAGTTTGTTTTCTTCTGCAACTTTAGTTGCATAACTTGAATTAATTTGACTCAAGACCCTTGAGAGAATAAATAAACCCATGACCTTAGAGCTGGAAGAGCCCTTAGAGATCCTCTGGTTCATGTTCTTTATCCATTGTAAGGAATTCCTTTGCAGTGTCCCTGAGAAATGATCATATTATTCATCTAGGCCTTGGTAGGGAGAAAGGGTTGAACTATTTCATAGACTTGGCTGTAAATTAGGCAACTTCCACTACAAACTGGATCAAAATATGACTTTCTGAAATGTGACCCACCTAGGTCTACCTCTAGAGCAAATCGCCATATTGTTTTCCTACTCATTTTTGTTGTTTATTTTATTTTTTCAATTACAGTTTACATTCAATATTATTTTGGTGTACAGCATAGTAGACAGTCGTACACTTTACAAAATGTTCCCTCTGATATTTCTGGTGCCCACCTGACATCATACTTAGTTATTACAATATTATTGACTGCATTCCCTATGCTGAACTTTGCAGTCCCGTGACTGTTTTGTACTTCTTAATCCCTTTACCATTTTTGCGCAGTCCCTCAAACCCTCTCGCATCTGGCAACCATCAGTCCGCTCTCTTTATCTACAAGCCTGCTTCAGTTTTATTTGTTTGTTTGTTTGTTTCTTTTGGTCTGTAGATTCCACATGTAAGTGAACTCATATAGTATTTGTCTTTCTCTGACTCACTTATTTCACTTAACATAATACCCTCTAGGTGCATTCATGCTCTTGTAAATAGTAAGATTTTTTTCTTTTTTATGACAAATATTTCATTGTATATGTGTACCATTGCTTTTTTTATCTACATGTCTATAGATGGGCACTTGACTATCTTTTCATATGTTAATTAGCCATCTGTGTGTCCTCTTTGGAGAAGTGCCTAATCAGGTCCTCTGCCCATTTTTTAATTGGATTGTTTGGTTTTTTTGGTGTTGAGTTATAAGAGTTCTGTACAGATTTTGGATATTAACCCCTTATCAGATGTATCATTGGGGAGAATCTTCCTCTGTTCAGTATGTTGTCTTTTTGTTCTGTTGGTGGTTTCCTTTACTGTGCAAAACTTTAGTTTGATGTAGTCCCATATCACTTGGAGAAATATCAGAGATTTTTTAAATATTTATTTTATTTTTTTAAATTTTTTAGAGAGAGAGACATTGACTTGTTGTTCCACCCATTCATGCATTCATTGGTTGGCTCTTGTATGTGCCCTGACTAGGGATTGAACCCACAACCCTAGTGCATCAGAATGATGCTCTAAACAACAGAACTACTCGGCCAGGATGAAATGCCAGAAATTATACTATGTTTTCTTCTAGGAGTTTTATGGTTTTGAGTCTAATGTTTAAGTCTTTACATTTTATATTCTGTCTTTTCCTTTTACCTTTGCCATTTTAATTATGATGTGTCTTGGTGTGAGCCACTTTGGGTTCCTCTTGTTTGGCACTCTGCATTTTCTATACTTGTATACTTGTATGTCTTTTTCCTTCACCAGGTTAGGGAAGTTTTCAGTTATTATTTCTTCAAATAGGTTCTCATCCCTAGTTCACTGTCTTCTGGTACCCATATTGTTCGGACATTGTTACTTTTCATGTCTCGAACATCCTTTAAACTATCCTTTTTTAAAACTCTCACCTGAAGACATGTTTTAATTCACTTTAGAGAGAGAAGGGAAGGTGGGGAGAGAGACAGAGATGAGAGAGAGAAAGGGAAACATCAGTATGAGAGAGAAACATCAATTGGTTGCCTTTTATACATGCCCTAAGCAGGGATCAAACCTGCAACCTAGGCCTATTCACTAACTGGGAGTCAAACTGGCAACATTTTGGTGCATGGGATGACAATCCAAGCAACTGAGCCACATGGCCAGGTCTAAACTATCCTCATTTTTTTTTAAATTCTTTTCCTTTTTGCCTCTCTGATTGGGTGTTTTCTACACCTTGTCTTCCAAATCACTATTTTCATCCTCTGCTTCACCTGATCTGCTGTTGATTTCTTCTAGTGTATTTTTCATTTCAACTATTGTATTCTTCATTTCTGGCTTTTTTTTCCCTACTTAAATGAAAGCAAAACATCTTTGTAGTCCTTCAAGTCAGGTTATTACAGAGATAGGAAAGGGCTTCCCCCAGGAATTTGTCCTCATTTTGAAATCAGAGTGAAACGTGACAGATTATCAGAAATCTAAAATTGTAATGTTGTAGAAACTGAAAGCAAGACTCAAGAAAGTTGTCCTTGGGGGAAAAAAAAACCCAACAAAACAGACCACCTGCTTGCAACCTAACCTGAAAGCTGGATCATAGGATCATCCTACTAAACAAATAAATGTCCTCAAGTACATTTTGCAGAAAATTGTCATTATAATTTTGACAAAATTTTTCTATTATATAGCAATGACTCTGGGAGGGATGATCATTAAGTTGAGAATTTACCAAATAGCTTCTTAAAACTTAGGATCCTCCTGAAATGACAAAGATGGAGCCATGTGACCCAGAAATTGGAAGAAGATGGGTCATAGTATCCCCAATTTACAGTCTCGCTTACAATTACCCTTGCTTCAGATAGACTTAACCTTGAGTATTAGCAGCATTTCAGAGCTCTCACTTTTTCTTTTTTAGTTTCTTTCCCCTTCCTCCCTTTCCTCTCCTCTTCTTCTATTCCAGCCACACTTATCTGTTTTTGCATAGAAGGTGTGGAGTTGGCACTGGGGGATCCTTCAGGCAACAGAAGGCTGACCATCAGCTGGAAGATTTTGACAAGTAACCATTTTTTTTACCTTGGGATCCCCATCTATAAAATGGAGACCTCTATTTCTTAAAGCAGATGTAAAACTAAACAAGCTGATTGAACACAGTAAATGGAATACAGTAGGTACTCAATAAGCTCTTGTTCTCTTTTTTACCATTCTTTTTTCTGCTGACTTCCCTGTATCCTTCCCTCTTTTTGGCTTCCAAAGGTCTACCAAACAAATGACCATTTTTCTAGGATTTCATCATACCACACCCTGGAAAGTCAGTTTCAGTTAGGGCAAAGCTGTAGAAAAACAACCAGCATAAGCTATTGGTTCTCTACTTTGAGAGAACATAAAGGGTGTAATAGAGTTCCTGATCTCTTTGCTGAGAGCCGTGACCTCTCTTTGGATCAGGAAGCCTGTGCCCAAGTGAACAGTACCAGGAGCCAATCACAACCCCAATTCAGGGTGTTTCCATCAGATGGAATCATCCCTTCACCAGCTCTTCCAGTCCTGAGGGGCAGGAGAAGAGGAAAGTTTTTCAGGCTGATCCAACAAACAAAGTATTAGGTAAAGACTGATTTCATCAATATTAATGTTTTTTTACCAAAGTAAATTTCAAGTTCACTGTGTTCACGAGCATGCCATTTGTCAACACTGGTCAAGAATATGGAAGTTGTTGAATAAAGAGAACTACTAAAGTGACAACAACCACAGATTTCCAGAGAACAGCCTTCTGTAAATTTTTGAACTTCTGTAGCTGAAGCAGAAAATTTTGTGCTGAATAATCAGCCTTAAGCACCTAAGCAACAAACTAGCATAACCCAGAAAAGAGTTTGCAGCTAAAGAACCATAACCTAGCTCTCACTACCCTCTGTGGGGCAGGAAATAGAAATGTGTAAGTCAAAGGCAAGCTATAAAGGAAAATCTGCCAGTGTTAGTCACTGATTTGTTTCCTTTATGTTTGTTTTTTAAGAGTGTAAGTTTCTGTGTATAGGTTTATTTTTATTATTTTAGCAACCTACTGGAAGTTTTCAATGTAAACAAAGCTCTTACTTTAAAAAAATAACCAAACTGATTAAACTGCCTAAGAAGGCAACTTTTAAGGACAGTGGTCTAAGTAGCAGTCTTTGAGGCCAATTTAATAGTGACAATAAAGCCACTTTTGTATTTGAATCCCAAATTCAGAAAATGGCCTTTACATTTTCAATCTAAAATTATAGTCTGACTTTAATGTTAAGTGTGGAACACATCATAATTTAGACACCTGCTGAAATAACTTACTGCTGTAATTTGGGGTATGAACCTGGGACTCATACCCTCTTAAATTATCCATCACACCCATTAAAATTAACTGTAAAGACAACTTCATGTATAAAGTCAATTATATGTGTATTTCTTATTCAACTAAGAGATATATATATATATATATATGTATATATATATATATATGACCACAGCTGTGTACACAACAGTTTTGTTGAAAGCCACGAATGCTTTAATTTGTACGTACATGATGACTTTTGTTTGGTTTTACTGAGGAAAAAGCCAAAGCATTTTTACAATAATATATCAATGAAATGCAAAAATCAAACACCAATCCAACAGCTTTGTGGATCTGAAATATTGTAGAGAAATTTGTGGAATTTTAGGCATTTCCTAGTTACTTGATGTGTTTTTATTGTAACATATTTCACTCCTATTTTTTTTTCTTTTTTCTTGAGTTTATTGGGGTGACACTGGTTAACAAAATGATACAGGTTTCAGGCGCGCACTTCCACAACACATCATCTGTGCACTGCATTGTGTGCTCGCCACGCCAAGTCTCCTTCCATCACCCTTTAGCCCCCCTACACCCTCCTGCCCCTTCCCCACAGCAATTACCCACACTGTTGTCTGTGTCCCTGAGATTTTTCTCTTTTTTAATTTTTCGCTCAATCCCTCCACTCCCCCACCCAGCCCCCGGTCCTATCTCCCTCAACAGCTGTCAGCCTGCTCCCTATGAGTCTGTCTCTATTTTGCTTGTTAGTTCATTTTATTCATTAAATTCCACATGAGTGAAATCATATGGTTCTTGTCTTCCTGTGACCTGGAAAGCATTATGCTAAGTGAAATGAGCCTAATTGGTTCTTTTTATGGTTTCTGTGTTCTTTTTTATGTTTACCATATCTTTGTTGAGGTTCTCACTGAGTTCATCTGTTCTCCCTCTAAGTTTCTTGAGCATCCTTAGAACCACTGTTTTAAACTCTATACATGATAGATTGCTTACCTCCATTTCATTTATTCTTATTCTGGGGATTTCTCCTGTTCCTCCATTTGGACCATGTTTCTTTGTCTCCCCATATTGGCTGCCTCTCTGTATTTGTTTCTATGTATTAGGTATGTCCGCTGTGACTCCCAGTCTTGGTATGGTGACCTTATGTAGTAGGTGTCCAGTGGGGCTCCATGGCACAGTCTTATCACCTGAGCTGTATGCTTCAGGAATGTCTCTTGTGCGGCTTATGTGAGTCTTCCTGCTGCAGTTGAGCCTGGAGTGCTATTGGGCTGTCTTGATGGTACCGACTGTAGGACTGGCCAACTACAAGGCCTGACCTTGACCCTCGTGTGTAAGTTACTCTACTGGGGCTGACCCCACAAAATGGAATTCATCCCAGCAGGTTCTGGTGCCTGCTGACATCTCCCTTTGGTTGTGCCACTTCGGGGCTAATTTGGTCATGCTCTGATGTGGCCTGAAGCCTGTTACCTGGTGTGTTGGTTCTGGGGCTTCCGAGGAGGAACTCTAGTGCAAGTCAATGGCAGGCACTGCCCGTGGCCAGCCCTGGCTTACCTGTTTGGAACTACAAAGTAATCCACAGCTTTTGGCTACTTCTGCTGGGCCTGCGTACCCATGGGAGGGGCCAAGCTGTGTACAAAACCTGGCTTCTACCAGCACAAGGCCTGGGAGCAGATCAGCAAAAAGCCCAAGACACCCAAGACACACCTCTGCCTGCCAGCTACCTGTGAGGCTCAGTCACTGAAAATGCCTCTGGCAGTATGTGCGTTGTATCAGGTAGGCTCTCAGTGAGTCACCAGGGAGGGATGAGTAGTCTTTCCCAGGCTGATACAGATTTAAATTCAGCACAGGTGCTGGGCCTGAGGCCACTTAGCAAAAGTCTCAGTGTACACCAAGGTCAGCTGTCGCCTGCCTGGGGCCAGGGGACCTACATGGTGGGGTATGGTCTCAGGGACGTATCAGGGTGAAGTCAGGGGAGTTCATCAGATGAAAATATGCCAAGATATTGGCATGTGGAAGGAGGGCTCTGCACAGGAACAGTGGCGGCTCTCATTGTGCGTATGAGGGGAAAATGGCCCTTGCCCTAGAGTCACACAACTCAGTCCTTCCCTGTCATCTCTTCCACTCCCCGAGTGTGCTTGGATCACCCTGAGGGCCACCTAAGACAGTCTGCACTGCCAGCCCAGGCTGGCCACAGCCAGCCAGCTCATATGCAGGCGGGGAGCTCAGCAGGTTGGAGCCACAGGGAGTCAGGCGATGAGGCTAGTGCCTTGCCCCAGGCTGACGTGGCCTGGAAGTCAGTGCTTCACCCAGGAAAGGCAGTGTCTGTGGGTGGGATGTAGGCGGGGTGGGGAGGACTCAGCACAGGAACTTTGGCAGCTGTCCCTTCAGTTCTCCCCACTAATGCACACAACCCAGAATCTCCCTGAATGACTCCAGTGCGCTTTGACCCGCCTTCCTTCCACCAGAGTCCGTGGTGAGTGGCTACAAATGAGATTTTTTTCTCCAGCCCTTTGAACGGGTCCCTGGGTTTCTAGCAGACTCCCATCTCTCCCTGGTGGTCAGAATCCTCACTGCTTTTTACAGTCAGATGTTATTTGGGCTCCTCTGCCTGGCTTTGCTGTTCCGGACTGGGGATCCCAGCATAGGATTGAGAGCCCTTTCTCCTAAGGAGGGATCTTTGCAGCTAACATATCCTTCCCAATTCTCAACTGCTGAATGTGGGTGCAGGACCAGCCCATTTTGCATCTCCTCCATTCCTACCAGTCTCAATGTGGCTTTTTCTGTAAACCCCTGGTTATAAGACTTCTGTTCAACTAGTTTTCAGTTGGCTATTCAGGTTGATTGCTCTATATAATTTAGTTGTAATTCCCATTTGGTCCTGGGAGGAGGTGAGTGAAGTTTCGACCTATTCCACTGCCATCTTGGATTCACCTTCTTTAATCATTTGTAATCTTAGCTGAGTATCATCAGTTACCTGTGTTTTTCTGTAGATAATGATTTGCAGACAAGTAGCTCCTGGTTTTTTGTTGCCCACTTTATATTTAATCTGCCGGGTGTGCCCTCACCAGCAGGCACAGGACGACTGTTGTCCCTTTACCTGGGTTCACTTATTAATGTTGCCCCAGATTATACAACAGTAATATTGTAACTATAGTTAACACTCTTAGCTCGAAGTATATATATTTGTATCCACTAAAATCTCTGGGTATTTTTCACAAGTTCACCCAGCAATATTTTCCACCATCCTTCCTGCCACCATGTGTATGGTATTTTGGGGTCTAAGTCAAGGACTTTCTATTTGTCTCATATAATTCTCTTGGTTTTGTCTTGCACACAATTATGGTTAACTGCAGTTGGATGAGGCCGAATGGGAGGAGCTGAGAGTTAGAAATAGGCACACTAAAGGAGGGAAAGCCTGGAGAGTTGCATAATCAAGCCACAGGTCGTAAGAGGAAGTTGAATCTGTGTAACATGATACGATGACCAGAGAGGATGCAGGTAGAAAGTGGTGATTCCGTCTAGCAGTTAAAATCAGAGATCATGAGGTGTCCTAACAAGTCGGAGAGCATGAAAGTGTAGAGTTCAGGGTCAGATGATAAGAAATATGTGAGGGCTGCCCAGCAAGAGAGAACACCCTTATTAACAGGTAGCAGAGTATCTGTAATGGAATTCTGGGGTCTAAGGCAGGATGCCAGTCCCTAGAAGGGGGACGAATGAGTTCATAAAAAAAGTTCCTTGGGAGCGCTACCAGTACTAGGATATCCGGAAAGGGCAACTCAGACCCAGAAAAGACGTTTAAGATTTCAGAGTCAAGAAAGTACAGGAGAAGTCCTTGGATGTAGGTTAGAACTGGACCACCAGCAAAAGATAACCATGGCACAGTGGTTTTTTCCTTCTTTTTTCTTACCAAATACATTATTAGATTCAAATACTTTTATCTTCTTCTTCTGTGCCATCGTAAAGGTGGTCTGGAGTTTACTAATTAACAATTTTTAAAACAATTGACTTTTTTTAATGTATGACTTAATTTTTTAATGTTTTATGTAACGTTTCCCTCAGAACATTACATAAATCATTTATGTAAGGAACATTGAGTACTTTTAAATACGAAAATGCAAAATTAATTTTGTTTTTCTGAAGGCAAAAATAATTTAATAATAGGCTCTGCCCTTAATCATTTATTCAATTAGTATTTTGCCATGAAAACATTAAGCACGAGAGTCTCCATAGTAGAATATTGTTCTAAGTTTTTATTCCCAATCCCTTTTTAAGCCATTACTGTTGTTTGTCAGCTTTTAAATCCTCTAAGTTGGACACAAACTTAAGTTACAAAGCAAGGGCTTGGAGGAAAAGGAGATAGTGCACTCTAGTACATTTTGTTTTGAAATTAGAATTGGCAGATCCCTCTAGAATTATCCAAAGGGGTAGTTTTATAAAGCAGTGCTTGCTCAGAAGAGGTTCCTTGCAGTGACTGGAACACAGCTCTTAGGCTCCAACCAATGCTCCGGATGTGGGGAGTAGGGTATGAGAAAAAGCTCCTTATAAAATGTAACTAGGAACAAGTAGCATAAGAGCAAGCTTTCCCAGTGTTGACTGAAGAATATTTGGATTCTAGTTTTTAATAGCTTAGCCTGGAGTCAAAATCCAGGCGAAACTGGTGAGTTGCTTCACATCCTACCCTGGACTGGTTATCCCCAAATGATATCTCGTTTAAGCTACTTTACAGTGCACATTATCAAATGAAACCAGAAGACTTCTATACTTCTTGATCAATCCTGCCTTCAAGGTTTTGCCCTTGAGCTAAATCCTACTTAGGTAGAGTATGTCTGTATAAGCATTAGAGTTAAATGCTTATTTTGGATACTTTTATTTCAGTGGCTTTTCTTTTATTTTTCTCTTCCAGTTTCTGCACTCCTACAAGGGAAAGTCATGATTACACTAACAGAGCTAAAATGTTTAGCAGATGCCCAATCATCTTATCACATCCTAAAACCCTGGTGGGACGTCTTCTGGTATTACATCACCCTGGTCATGCTGCTGGTGGCCGTGCTGGCCGGAGCGCTGCAGCTTACGCAGAGCAGGGTCCTGTGCTGTCTTCCGTGTAAGGTGGAATTCGACAATCACTGCACCGTGCCTTGGCACATCCTGAAAGCCAGCGTGAACATGTCCTCCGATCCTGAGACACCGCTTCCGCTCCCCCTCAGAATCCAGAATGACCTCCACCGACAGCAGTACTCCTACATCGACGCCGTCTGTTACGAGAAGCAGCTCCACTGGTTCGCAAAGTTTTTTCCCTACCTGGTGCTCTTGCACACGCTAATCTTTGCAGCCTGCAGCAACTTCTGGCTTCATTACCCTAGCACTAGTTCCAGGCTCGAGCATTTTGTGGCCATCCTTCACAAGTGCTTCGATTCTCCATGGACCACCCGCGCCCTGTCAGAAACAGTGGCCGAGCAGTCAGTGAGGCCCCTGACGCTCTCCAAGTCCAAGGTTTTGCTTTCATCTTCAGGGTGTTCAGCTGATGCTGATGCCAATAAACAGTCATTGCCCTACCCGCAGCCTGGCCTGGAGTCAGCTGGCATAGAAAGCCCAACTTCCAGTGTCCTGGACAAGAAAGAGGGCGAACAGGCCAAAGCCATCTTTGAAAAAGTGAAAAGGTTCCGAATGCACGTGGAGCAGAAAGATATCATTTACAGAATTTATCTGAAGCAGATAATAGTCAAAGTCATTTTGTTTGTCCTCATCATAACGTACGTTCCATATTTTTTAACCTATATCACCCTTGAAATCGACTGTTCAATTGATGTGCGGGCTTTCACAGGATATAAGCGTTACCAGTGTGTCTACTCCTTGGCAGAAATATTTAAGGTCCTGGCTTCGTTTTATGTCATTTTGGTTATACTTTATGGTCTCACCTCCTCCTATAGCTTGTGGTGGATGCTAAGAAGCTCCCTGAAGCAATATTCCTTTGAGGCACTGAGAGAAAAAAGCAAATACAGTGACATACCTGACGTCAAGAATGACTTCGCCTTCATCCTCCATCTGGCTGATCAGTACGACCCTCTTTATTCCAAACGCTTCTCCATATTCCTGTCAGAGGTCAGTGAGAACAAACTGAAACAGATCAACCTCAATAACGAATGGACAGTTGAGAAACTGAAAAGCAAGCTAGTGAAAAATTCCCAGGACAAGATAGAACTGCATCTCTTTATGCTAAACGGTCTTCCAGACAATGTTTTTGAGCTAACTGAAATTGAAGTGCTCAGCCTGGAGCTGATTCCTGAGGTCAAGCTGCCCTCCACAGTCTCACAGCTGGTCAACCTCAGGGAGCTTCATGTGTACCATTCATCTCTGGTGGTAGACCATCCTGCCCTGGCCTTTCTAGAGGAGAACTTAAAAATTCTCCGCCTGAAATTTACTGAAATGGGGAAAATTCCACGCTGGGTATTTCACCTGAAGAATCTCAAGGAACTTTATCTGTCGGGTTGTGTTCTACCTGAGCAGCTGAGTACCATGCAGTTGGAGGGCTTTCAGGACTTAAAAAACCTCAGGACTCTCTACTTGAAGAGCAGCCTGTCCAGGATCCCACAAGTCATTACCGACCTCCTGCCTTCCCTGCAGAGGTTGTCCCTCAATAATGAGGGAAGCAAACTGGTTGTGTTGAACAACCTGAAAAAGATGGTCAATCTGAAAAGTTTAGAGCTGATCAGCTGTGACCTTGAACGCATTCCACACTCCATTTTCAGTCTGAACAATTTGCATGAGTTAGACCTAAAAGAAAATAACCTTAAAACTGTGGAAGAGGTCATTAGCTTTCAGCATCTCCAAAATCTTTCCTGCTTAAAATTGTGGCACAATAACATTGCTTATATTCCCGCTCAAATTGGGGCATTATCTAATCTGGAGCAGCTGTTTTTGGACCATAATAATATTGAGAATCTGCCCCTGCAGCTTTTTCTATGCACCAAACTACATTATTTGGATCTAAGCTATAACCACCTGACCTTCATTCCAGAAGAAATCCAATATTTGAGTAATTTGCAGTACTTTGCTGTGACCAACAACAATGTAAGTAAATCCATTCTCCCCTTTATTCAGCCAGTCTCTTGAGAATCTGCTGTTGCAGTGTGTAATGTAGGTAAAGAAAATGGGCTTCAAATCATACTAACCATCCTCTGAGAATGGTCTAATTGCCACTCAGTAGACACACAACCGTGGACAAATTACTGAAACACCAAGCACAAGTTTTTAATCTAACTTACAAGTTGTCATGGAGATTTTATGAAAAACTATATAAGTAAGCACTTGGCACAGTTCCTGACATGTAGTAATTGCTCAACATATGTTCGCTTTATTCTTTTTTCCCATATTTGACATAAACCTCACAGTTGAAGTATTTTAAACTAATTAGTTATGACAGAACTTACTTTTCATTTTGGAAAGATCTTAACTATTATACTTAGACAGTTTCATAAAACTTTTCAGCTCTCCAAATCTATCATAGGAGCAGAAATTTTTGTGAAAAATACTGTGATCATGAGTTATTCATAAATCTTTTCTGTGATGCGGTAAGAGAGATTTGAAGTCTACATGCATATCTGGAAAAGCAATTCAAAATGAAAGGCCTGGTTCTATAATGCAACACTAGGGCTTCTTAGAAGCTTTTTCCAGCATCCAGGCTTTAAAAATGAACCATAATTTGCAACAGTAAAGCCAAGTTAAGGAAAACTTAACATCTTTGAAACAAGAAAAAAAGAATAAATGAGTAGTTTCCTAGGTTAAAATGTGAAGGAAGAGCAAAAAAATTCATGCTAGCTGAAAGAGCAAGAGAGTGATGGTAATGTCCATATGGAAAAAAGAAAAAAAACACCTGTCACAACTCAGGTCTGCCAAAAGATGAAAGTGATCTTCTTCTAGTTGAAAATGGGAGCTATTTTATTCTACCCCACCCACAAATGTGTTATCTCCTAGACTTTTTATAATTCACATTTCATACTTAATACAGATAGGAGCATGATGTTGGGTAATAAACATATTAATCACCAGGTATTATTTTTTTATAACAATGGAGCGTTAGAGAAATACCAGAAAGTCATGGAATGAGAACAAAATTCATGCTGGTTTTTAGAACTCTAAGGCTACGCATACGTAAATGGCTACAGCTCATTCTAAGATAAATGAGAAATCTTCAGGTCTTAAAGGATTAAGAGGTTTCTAAACTCTTTTAGGATTGATCTAGACTTAGCAGTGCACATTAGAATTACCTGAAAGCTTTGTTAAAACACCGATTACTGGGCCCCGCTGCCACTGTTTCCGATTCAGTAGGTCTGATGTAGGATTCTAAGAGTTTGCAGTTTTAAATAGCCCCAGATGAAGCTGATGCTGCTGGTTGTGACCATATTTGGAAGACTGCAGGTCCAGAGATTTATCATTTGTGCCATTTAATTATGCAATTAATTAATGTTAGTATTTTGGTTACACTTTTATTGTCAAATCTATAATAAAAAGTATAAATAATTATTCTGAGAGGTGTTGGTTTCATCCAGTTGTCATACATGAAGTTGTGAAAGTTGCAGCTGATTACATTGTTAGCTGGTCATGAATTATTTAAATATATAAACAGGTTAATGTTTTTTCAAGTTTAATGTAGTGAACCCTTAAGACTATTGGTACTTTTGACACCAAGTATATTGACTTCTTGACCGTGTCTGTACAAGAAATTAGGGGTAAGTATTAGACAAAATCCTATCTTGGATAAGGGAGGATGCTTGATAGCGCATGAAAAATTTTATGCTGAAGGTAGTTGATGGCAAAAGTAGGATGATACCTTTGGCTAGATTGTCTCCGAAGTCTGATAGGCTGTCACTGAGCATGTTTAGAACCATAATGGTGACCATGACCGATGAATGGGTGAGGGACACTTTTCTCAGAACTGTGAAGAGACTTAATAAAGATACAGAGAAACGGGGACTCACTCAGAAGACAGTGACCAGAGTCATGTGTCTCTCTGACGGGACAGGTCAGCCTAATGATGGGAAAAATTGGGTAGAGAAAGGACAGAGAATAATAGTCCACAAATCGGTCTTCAAAAATTTAGAAGATAAATAGAAAAGAAAGCTTATTGGGAGTACCCATGTACCCATGAGTATTAGAACTGGGATAAGCAGATTTCTCATCTTTTCCAAAAAGTGGTCTAAAGATTGAATTGTCAGCCCCTTGGTAGGAATGTTGTTAAAGAGAATCAAGAGACTACAGATTTCATGTGAGGAAGACCAGATATTTAGACAATAAAACATCAAGTTAGATGCATAACTATTTAGATATGCATATACTCAGAAACAAGAGTTGATTCATCCATTTGGAATGGAGGTTGGTAAAGATTTCTGACAAAACATGTTCTAAAAAGTCTTCTACAGACTTGAGTGGTATATCAGATTCGTAGATGGAGGCAACAAATACTCTGAAGTTAAGCAGAAAAGACAGTTTTTTGAAAGGATGTTCTATAGCTATTATCACTGAAAAGGCTGCAGAATTAAGTTTGGAAAACAAGCACAAAGTTAGGGAGCAAAAAGGCGCACAGCCAAAATCATGGCGCAAACGCAATACCTGTCACTGACCAACACTGGGCACCGGTGCTGCCCCTGAACTTGATTCTGCTGCTGCTGCAGCCCTAGCCCTTCCACAAAATAGGTTCTTAATGGTTTCTGCTGCTCTGTGACACTAACCCCAATTCAAAGTCCAAGGCTGAGCACCTGATTGGCCGAATTACGAATGGTCACACTCAAGCGGTAAGGCAGCTGGGAACACAAGAATCTGGTGGTGTCGGTTCCTCTAGTGGGAAATAGACCCTGCTTCCTTTCCAGAGTCCCGCCAGGATAAGGTGGGGAATTCTCTAGATATCAAAGCTGTTAGGCAGTTCCCCAAATTACTCTCACATTCAATGAGAGGACACTCCAGAATTTCTTCCACAGGATAGTAATAGGTGTTATCAGAAAAGCATTAAGCATTTCTTCTTATCATATTTTTGCAGCAGGATACTTCAGAGCCTTCAAATATGAGTATGCATTACACTTCTCCAACAGGGAGAAAATGGTATGCAACATTTGCCAAACCTATTTGAGCGAGACACTCTTTTTCACAGTAACTCTTGAGAGGAGCATTCCATGGAACACAGCCTGCGAACTCTGGATGCGAGAAATAGAAAAAGACAGATGTCATTGCACAGAGTCTTGCAACAGGCCTGCCTGGGTGTCATAAGAAGTAAAAGCGTTTAGCAAGGGGTCAGAATGAAGAGGGCCTTGAGGTCTGCAAGTCAAGTTCACGCTTGATTCATGGGATAGTGGCTGTGGTGAGACTTGAGCTTGAAAATTCTAGTTAGCTTCAAACGGTAGCTTCCACTGAGGCTCTGATTGTAGCATATATAAGAGTTGGGAGAGGACAGTCAAGAAACAAAACCCGATGAAAAAGTTTAATGAGTTATGATTTACAATTAGGAATATAGATCTAAAACAAGAGACAAAGACTCAAGTCTGAAAGGAATGCAATGGGCCAGAGACCTGCAAAGAGCAGCCTGGGAGCAAAATCTACCCACAGCCAAATCAAAAGAATAGTATCAATATTTTGTCACACATAAAATTATATGAAATTCAAACCTCATTGTCCATGAATAAATTCTATTGTTTTCATTAAAGGGCCTATATTACAAAAAATTATGTTCAATTGTTATTATATTTTGAAATGCATGACTTAAAAATGCATGAAATCTTTTCTCTCTTTTTATGTAAGCACCTACATAATTTTCAGCTTTGCTTCTTGGCCCACGAAACCTGAAATATTTACTCTCCAGCCTCTGTTCTAGTCCACTGCCCTCCTTTTACTGACACTGAAGCTGAGGCTCATTGCACAGTAATCTGAACTGAGGCCTGAGGGTTCCCAGTGATGAATCTGGGATGGAACCCAAGTGTTTCAGCTCCTGCTTAGAGCTCTTTCTAGTGAGTGTGAGGCACATCGGTCCAAATGATGTGACGGCGTGAGAGGGGTGTGCGGAAGACAGGAGAGGCAGCGCCCGTCTCGATCCCAGTGCCCAGGTGTGACTGGGTTCTGATCATATGGACTGTGATGGAGAAGCACAAGGAGGGGCTGGAGGGGGATTTAGTAGCTTCACTCAAATCTTAGAAACCGGTCCAATTTACACCTAAGTCTTCTGACTTGAATGCATTTCTTGTATTAATTTAAAAGACTTCTAGCCAGAAGGTGGGTAACGTAGGAATTCCTCATAGCTTCACATGTTAATATGGAATAATGCAGAAGATTATTTGTGTGACGGGGCTGCTGCTGTTTGTGACATCGTGCTCAGAAATGGAAATATTCTGCTTTGTTTCTTGAAATGATTGGATTTTATGTATTTGCTTAGCGCGTCCTGAGTGAGACAGCACATGTCAGTGGCCAGAAAAAAAAAAAATCTGACATTAAGAAGGATGGTGAAGTAAGGTCCCAGCCACAAACATGTTTTAATAAAATGTATTGGCCCAGGCAAAAAGTGTTTGGTTTTCTTGTAAGCTTTGGGGCAAACTAGTTTTTAAAGGTGTAAGTCAATTTTTCAGGATAAAATCGCCGAGTTGAAAGACAGTCTTAAGTCTCTAACATAGCTTCCCAGGCTGCTTTAGCAAAATTGAATTCAAGTGAGTGAGTTACGGTCTCGTGCTTTAGCAGGGTGCTGATGTTGAGAAAGCCTCTGAGAGGGACACCTGGCTCTCAGTGGGTTGGCACCCCCAGCCCTTGACTCACTCTGACAACAGCAGCAGAGACGCTGACAGCTGGGCCCCAGAGGCTCGCTCGCGGTGCCTTGTGAAATCCCCTCCCTCTGCTGGGGGCCGCGGAGTCACAACGTCAGAGATTTGAAAGAAGATTGGTGAGAACATGGCAGTGCTAGTAGCCAGACAGGAGGAGAGTGAGGGCAGTGGTTACAGGGGATTATTCACCCACCCAATCAGTTCGGTTAAGCAAGGCTCTTGCTCCTGAGATCTGGAAGCAGACTGAAGAAGGGAGCGTGGGCTACCCTGATGCACCTCTGGTTAGGGCTCTCTTCTTCATAGCACCCATTACAGACTATTTGTGTAATTGTTTAATATTTCTCTCTCCCATTTGACCAGTGCTTCTCAAATGGGGGCAGCTTTGCCCCCCAGGAGACAATTGCCTGCAGACATTTTTGGTTGTCACTATCATCTAGTAGGAGGTGGCCAGGGGCGCTGCTAAACAACCTACAATGCATAGGGCAGCCACCACACAAAGGGTTATCGGTCCAAATATCAACAGTGTCAAGGCTGAGAAACCCTGCATTGAACCTAAGGTTCTTGAAGACCCATCTGTCTTGCTCAGCACTTTATCCCCAACACCTAAGCACAAAAGGAGGCTCTCAGCACACATTTACAAATACAGATGAGCCAAGCCTCTTCCCTCTTCAGCCAGTTTGCCTAAGTCATTGCTTAGGCACCAACAGGCACTGCCAACCCTGAGCACCCTGCACAGGACTGACTGACTGCTCTGCTTCTGTGCCACTGACCCTGCGTCCCAGTTGCCAAAGTCTCTGACCAGAGGGGTTACACTTCTTCTGTCTCCTCTCTCCGCTATGAAATTTACATATATATGGTGTTGCATTTGCATTCTTGAGAAGGGAATGAAATGAAAGGGTAGATGTTTTCTTGTTGCTTATACCTAGTATTTTGATGTACAGTGATGAGCTATATTGAATGGCGATCTTAGCAATGGTTATCATTAAATTATTATCAAAGTTATCTAGTACTGAGTATATGTGTGGGTGATGGAGGAGAAGGGAGTTTCCAACATAATGAGCATTTTTTTAATGCAGTAGGACCACACTTTAGTTTTTATAGAGAATGTTTGTCCTTTTGAAGAGAGCATTCTGTATAGCCCTGGAAGTCCCAGCAGAAAGCGGATCTCAGTGGGGCTGCGTTAGCCCATGAGAGGAGCAGGCTGAGCGCCTCTGGAGCGCTTGCTCCTTTCACCCCTGTTCCTAACACAGTCACTTCCTGAGCCAAGAGCCACACTGTTTCACAGGAGCAAAGATGCGCTGACCCCACCTGTATGAATGTACGCAATATTATAGGGTGAGGTGTGTGCTGTCCAGCTCTGCCTGGCCCAAACCCACCTCTGAGTGGCATGGTGAGATTGCGGGCACTGTGCATGCTCAACTCTCCCCTCGACGTCTTTCTACAATAAACCCTATTTCATATACACTCAGTGGCTCCCTGAGAAATTCACATGCATCCTGCCCACCAGCTAGGGGAGCAGTTCAGTTGAGTGGCTCTAGGGGTAGACTGAATTGCAGGCTATTTATCATATTTAAAATTATTTCTCTGTTATATGATTTAATCAAACCATCCAGAAAGCAGGAAGAATGGTAAATAAGTACTCATGAGTGTGTATATAGAGGACAATGAACTGTACATATGTGTATTATCATATCTTCTTGTCTCTGCTTCCATCAACTTTATTTTTTTTTAACAGAAAGACATTTTTGGTCTACACCATGAAACTGTAAGATAATAGCCTCATATCTGTTCTCAGGATGTTGTTCATTACATAAGACAGTAAACTCTTTGCGAGGACTCTTGGGAGCAATTTATTTCTGATCTAGGGCTCAAGAATAATTATGATTCTCCTGAGTTACTGGTTGGTTTTTTATCTTAGGGAAAATGAGTATGTACTGATTAGGCTTTCTTTGAGAATTGCTTATGAGAATGTTTAGAGCCAAATTTGCTGCCCTCCCCCATATATAACAAGGATTTAGATGTTTATGGTAGCTTCAATTCTGACCTCATGATGGATGTCCTTACTACTCCTTTGTATTTTCCATCTACTTCAAATTTATCATCATTGTTACATGTCAACATCTAGAGATGTTTTTGGGGAAAGGTAAAGGTATACATAATAAGTAAATGATTATATAATAGGCGGTCAAAAACAAGTTTTACTGGCTTCTTTTTTTTCCCTTTCCAGATTGAAATGCTACCAGATGGGCTGTTTCAGTGCAAAAAGCTGCAGTGCTTGCTTCTGGGGAAAAATAGCCTGATGAGTTTGTCCCCTCACGTGGGTGAGCTGTCGAACCTCACTCATCTGGAGCTCATCGGTAATTACCTGGAAACACTTCCTCCTGAACTGGAAGCATGCCAGTCCCTAAAACGGAGCTGTCTGATTGTCGAGGAGAATTTGCTCAATACTCTTCCGGCCCCTGTAACTGAACGCTTGCAGTCATGCTTAGATAAATGTTGACCTATAGAGAAAATAATTTTTAAAAGTGTGCCCCAGGCTTTAAATGAGAACTAAAATTTCCTAACTTACAAAGATAAAGAAATGGGTAATCATTATGACTAACTATAACCAAATGTCTTATTAAAGCAACTCATTGTCCGGCCCTAAGCTAAGCAGGTAAAAAATGTTAACACAGCACTGGGTTTTGTGAATAATTGATCTTTTCACTTAGTGACTTGTAAGAAGTACACTTTGAGGGTGGAATGGGGGACACAGAATTATTGAATCTCTACTTTGCAATTATTACCTTGAAGACTAGGTATTCTTTCTTCTCCCTCCCCAGTCTCCATTACTTATTCGCACACTTGGTGTTACTGACCTCATTTGGATATTTATCACCTAGACCATAAATTCATCAATGTAAATTTCCTTGATGTACACTCAGCACTGCATTTGATTTCTGTTCTTAGTTATTTTTAGGCTGGGTGCTTTGTGCTTGGCCAAATTCCATCTTGGCTTTGTACTTCCGGTCCCAGCTTTCTCAAGTCTCCCTTCATCTCGTTTTCTCTAAACCTTGATGAGCCCTGAGAAAGTGCCCACGTTTGGCTTTTGCACAGGACAAGAGCAGGGTACTTAGGACATGTCACCCTTGGGACATCCTGAAGAGTAATGTATTCTCTAAAATTTCTTCTCGCGGAGCATCAAAGCCTTTTTTATTTGCTCTTAAGTTTTTATATTAAATGTAAAACAAATATTTTTATTGCGTACTCATGGATCCCAAGTCTTTGGGAATAATTTCTGTAAGGTACAGAGAACACATGCATTTCTCTAAGTATTCACTATTAATATGCTTGGTTTTGGCTGCTTATGATTCTCATATTTGTGTGCACTCTCCATAATGTTTTTTGCGCTCTGCATCTAATTACTTTTGGATCACAAAAGCCTGTATTTCAGGCTCTAAAATATTTAGGGATTTCCTTACAAGAGAATGGCCACATCATCTACCTCTCTCTTCCCTGTTGCTGTGCTAATGTACGGGTACAATTCTTAATTACTTCCAAAACTGTGATGGAGGGGAGAGGTAGAGATTTCGATCTTTAAAACTGACTTCAAAATACCTTGCAGAAATTAAGTAAGAGTTAAAGCAAAATACTTTACTTTCTTCTCCATCTGTATGATCTATAGATACAATTATTATGAAAAACACTCAGCTTCTATTCAGAGTTTAAGATGAGTTCTCAACGCTCACAAAGAAATAGATCCATTTAACTGGAATTCATCTCATGCCTTTGTTTAACTTTTCTGGAATACATTTTCCTCCTTTTTATAAAAGAGCTTTTGTGTTTGCCTTTTATCATGCATATTGTAAAATGAAAATGAACTGACTTATTTGGGGGAAATGTACACTTTTAATGTGTTTTTCTCTAATGGGTCTAGGCACTATGATGCCATCTGATTTTGGATGAAACTATGAAGTAATCTATTAAGCGCACTGAGACAAAACTGGAAAACACTGTGGGTAAAGAGTATCGTAAACATGGAGTTGTGACGTGTGCTGTTTTTCTTGCTTTGCCCGTTCCAAAAAGATGAAAGTGAGTCTTTATAACAAAATGTAGCTTTACTCGCCTACCACACACCCCTGGACTGAATCTCAGAGAAAAGAATTGTTTGCGTCACATGAAATTTGAATAATATTAGCTATAAAAAATATAAAACACCAAAGGCTGCCTAAACCTTACTGTTTATTCTAAATGAGAAGAAATGGAGTAAAAATTTAATTCTTACCAAAACTTGCCTTTAGTCAAAACATTCAAGTTCTCAGGGACCCAAGCATAACTGATGAAACTTTCTACTAGGACTTCAGAAAACTGTATCTAGGGTTTGTTGGGGGGGTTTTTTTTGTGATTTTTATTTTTTTAATGTGAATTGATGGTCATGTTAATGCTTCACAGTAAAATTGTCATGTGTATTGATTCCATTGTTAGACAGGATCATCTTAAGTCTCAGATGTGAACGTGATACATGGAGAGGTGTTAAATGTTCTTGGAACTTAAATGTTTGTGCACAAATAATTAGTCATAATTTGTATGAAAAAATTCACCCACTTTTCTAAAGGGGAGTTTTCAAAACAAATTTTAGATTGGTACCATTTTCCTGACAAACTACAACTTCTCCATGGCTAGTCACTTGTTTTAGTTCACATGCAGAAGTCATCGGCTAAATCTTCCTTATCACCTCTCTGAATTTCTGGAAACAGGTTACCGTCAGGATCAACACTGAGCATTGTAGGCGTCTCTCCAAACACAAGGATATAGTAACTGGTGTAAATTCTATTCCTGATGCCATAGGTTTTAGATTTCTTTTTTATGTCAATCTGACACACCAGACTTTAGGTAGCTTTTGAAATGACAAGCACTGATGTATGAACTCTGAGACCACCACTTGACATTCAAAATGAGTCTGATGCCACCTTTACCGCATTGTTGGAGCAGATCATTTCATAAGTGTTCATATTCATTTAAGAGGATTGTAAATGAAGAAAAACAGGTTTGTTCACTTATACTTGTAAGACTTCAGTTGGCATTTGATTTCTAACAATGTGCAGTGCATTTTCCAAAAAAAAAAAAAGAAGCAAATGTGGATGTTACTCAGAACAAAGTTGATGGCTTATGCTAGCTAGCAGTGACATTGGTTCCTTTTATTTACATGCACACACATAGAGAGATGCACACACAGATGGCTTTGAACATACAGAGACACACATACACACCCCTATGCATGCAAAATTAAGCTTATCAGTTTTAAATATGCTTAGTGTTTTTCGCAAAGTTGCAAGAGGTTAATGCTAAGATATTCTTTATTCATTACTTGTAATGATGGAGTATTCTGTTCTCTTAGTTACATTTAAAAGGAAACTGAACACCCAATCTTACTCTGAGAACCTAAGCAGTTTTGAGCATTTCTGGTAAGGTAGTTTTCTTTCCCTAACCTACATCAGGGTACATCTCTGTGGAACATAGATACTGTGTTTTCATTCTTCATTCTCAATCTTAATTTTTTTCCTTCCGGATGTCAACATATTTCACCATCACTTAACAAATGTTTATGTGAAACAGGGTAAATAGAGATCCTCAGAATCTCAGCACTGTGGCATACATAGTTCAGTTGTGTGCTGTGGTGAGCTGCAGTGAGTTAATTGCTTAACATTGTTTGATAGTGAAAATACTTGTTTTTGTTCTTCAAGTGTTTCATGATACAAATTTTGTATGTTTGTTTAAAACACTGCATAATATCCACAGGTTCAGAAACTATTAAAATAAACAATTATTCTATGGATTCATAGCTTTATTTCCTCGTATTTTTAATAAAATACCGTTTCCATCTTTGTTCTTTTAGCATGTCCCATCCACATAAGGTATTTTGTTATCTCCCTCCACTCACCCACCTCCTTAAATTTGATCAGCACTTGTACAGTAACAGAATGTATTTGTGCTAGAGAACTTGCAGTGATACTTGAGCATGTGTTTATTTGGGAGAAGCCAGAGCCTAAAATTATGCCTAATTGAGTAGTTCTACTTTACCCATCCCTGAGTATTTAGAGCTGATCCAACATCCCTCATCCTTCCCCAAAGCATGAGAATATAACTGTTAAGTCCATTTTCAGGAACTGTACATTGCATAAGAATCTGTGTGTGTTTGTTTGTTTGTTTGTTTCGGGAAACAAGAGGAAGTCCAGTGGGACAGGGGAGGAGTTATTTTGTATCCTGGTTTGAACTGTGAAAACATTGTATACATGAAACTGTTGCAAAATGCCCTGAATATAATTATTTCCCATCTTTAGCCGGATGCGAAAGCTGAAGCAGTGAAAAAACCGCAGTCCTATTTAACTGCTTTCTTCTGCTTCTGGTCCATCATTTCTGTATCCTCTGGGAACTACCTACTGAGTACCTTTGGTAATGGACTCCATTCTCTTAGATACTGTTTTACATGAACAATTTCATCCAACACAAAAGCATTAACATAGAAAATATAAGCCGAAGTACTGAGTTGAGATGGCTTCCAGTTGAATTTAATTCATATTTAAGTTTTGCATTTGACTTGTAGAATAATGCAGTTCTGCTGAGAAAAACAATTATGAATGCCTCCTGCATGTTATATATTATCTCTAACAGAGATGGTGCAATTTAAAAAATACAAAGGGGCATAGAATTAGAATGGAAGTGTCTGTGCATATATGTGTTGTGTATAATACTAAATATTTAATATGTTTAAATATTTTTAAAACTCTTCAAATGTTTCACTCTTAGTGAAATAATGGGCCAATCTTAAGTAGAAACATTTTCTTGTTAGCTTATTTTATGTCACGTACTTTGAAACCTACATAAAAGTTTTTGCCTCTGGTAATAAATTATTAGAAAATAATATTTTGTGATGAGTTGAATGTTTTTGGCCCTCAGGTTTACCATGTAAATCTGCATTTTAGTGGTAAATCCCTTTGCCTGAGATTCATTAGTTTTGGTAAACTTTACTGTTTTTAAAGTATGTTTTGTGTAAAATAAAGATTCAATTTTTATAATAAATGGCAAATAAAAATAGATTAAATGTCGGAAGAAGTCGATTGTACTATTTTTTGCCTGTGTACACCAAAAAGGACTCCCTTCCTCTTCTCCTACTTCCCTGTGCAGCTAGAACCAAATCATAGATTCTAGGTTCACACATGAATCTCATAACAGTAGTATGAGTTTTCAAAATAAGCTACAATAGTCACAAAATAGAAAGCCCCTAAAAAGAGCTAGACTAATTCTAGAATACACTGAGGGACGAGCGGAGGTGGAACCTGTCCCTCTCCTACTCGCTTCATCTTTGGAGCTTGATGATCACAAACCAGCTCATCTCTCTGCATCTCTTCTTGCCTCCAGATAAATAGAAAGTAATGTACTTCAAGATGAAATTTTCAGAAGCTTTAGTAAAGGGAGAAAAAATTGACTTATTGGGTAAAATAGACACAAACACTTGACGTTTTTAATAGATCTCTCTCCTCTCTCATCTCACATACACACAGCTTCAGGAACACATTAGAAAGCCGATACTCAGATCTTTTCTCTGCTGGAGGACAGAACTTGATATATACACCAGTCCAGATTATGAAGGAAATTAACGGCTGAAACCAGATGGTCTTATTTTTCTCTGGAAATGCAGTGCATCAGAAATGCTTTCCTCCACCTCGTAGTGCGTTAGGAATGGGAAGTACATGGAGGAAGTAAAGCCTGAGCCAGGCTCAAGGCATTAGCAGCCACGCAGGGCCTGACCGCCAGGTGTCTGGGATGCTGGGATCCTGCGCCAATAGCCTACAGGGCAGTGACATGCTCCTGTGAGCACAGCAGTAAGAGGGGCTTCATGTTCAGCGTTCACTTCCGCATTGCAAAATGGCTTGGCGCAAACACGGTGAAGAGCCCGCCCGTGGGAGCCAGGCTTTGCAGCGCTATCGACAGCAGGATTTGGTTCTCTAGCTCTGGCTTGCGTTCGGTTTCTGCCCACTCCTCTGGATTCTCTGAAATCCCAGCTTGTCATCTCTGCCCCTCTCGTCTCTCAGGTCTGGAGAGAAGCAGTGCATCCAAAGGGACAGAACTCAAGCTCCATACTTACAGAAGAACACATATTTATATGCCAAAAAGGGATGCGGAATAAAATGTCATTTTTATCACTCATAGTCTTTTTTTAAAAATAGAAATCTCTCTTCACCTTGTGTCATCTCGTCATCCTCTAGACTATAGTTATAAGTCCTACCTACTAATTACCAATGATTCTATAGAACTACCTGTGTTACTGAGCAGCTTTTCAAATTATTTCTTCCAACAAACTCCTGAAGTTTGCATTTTTACACAGGCCTATTTGTTGGCCCATTTTTTTTTACTCTCTACCTCCCCCTGCTGCTGAGATGAAAACAAACCAAATAGAAGCTTGTCTGGCTTCTATTTCCTCCCCTTTTATTCAGTTTTTCCTTGCCTTGCCTTTGTCAAATGCAGCCTCTTAAGGAAGATCTTGAGAATTCAGTGGCCCTCCCTTAATCCCAAGGACACCATCTCAAATGAGCTGCACTTAGAAAGCCCCCTGCAGAACCTGGCACCGGGACGAGTCCAGAGGTGGGCAAGCAAGAATTTAGTGCCCTTTAAAAACCATTCCTTGAATATTTATTTAATATGCATTTGGTAGAGTTTGGGGAACCAGTTTTCTGTTACTGAAAATCATGAACTTTATGTCAGCTGTCTGATTATTCCCTCCTCCAAAAACAAAACTGTCACAAGAGTGAGAGAGAGCTTAGACATGACTGAGCAGCGACAAGTGGGGGCTGAGGGCAAAGGAGGGTTCTCACAGCTCACAGCATTTGTCAAACATCGCCGCAGGCAAGTCTCCCAGGCGTCCCGAGCAGGCGTTTCTGCTGCTGGGTCTCCCTTCCCGTCCCCGCTAAGTACCCTGCTCTCCTGGCCCCGCCCTCTCCCTTCCCAGATCTCACTTCCTCACTCCAACCTCTCTCTCCCTCTCTCTGCTTGTTTATTGCTGTCCTAACCACATACTCCAAGCTTACATATCCCCTCCCATTACTAAATCCCATCTTTGAGAGTATTAAACACCCATCATACTAAGGGCAATATTTGAGTTTTCCTAACCAAAATAAATGCCTTTCAGTTACCAAAATTCTTCCTTCCTACAAGGTGGTTTCTTGTCACAATTTCCAATAAGAGACTTATTCAACGCGCTGACTGGGAGCAGGACCAATCTGCATTCCTCAGGCTGGTAACCCAAGAAATGGAATATGGAAATCTGACTTAACAGGTCCCCTTTTTTCAAGTATTCCAGTGACATTTGATGTTGCTTTTAAATTAGTATCCTGGGCAAATGTTTAAACACACAGGGTCCCAGATGCTACCTGCTTGAAGGATGCTTCCGTCTAGTCTTTCCCTGAAATGGGTTTGGATTCACATCTTTGTCTATTGCCTCTATGGTACCGTCTTAGAGAAACTATTCAGATCATTACAGGGATAAAAGAGCAGTTCTGTCATCATTGTCATCAGACTGAGCCAATCTTAGGCAATTGCTCTGTGAGAGGGGAAAGGCCGAAGAACTAACCAAGGGAAAGAGAATTAATCATCTCCATTAAGAGACCTGAGAAAGGTTTGCTGGACTTGGGTTACCCAGGCAGAACCTCATTAACGGCTTCAAACTGAGAAAAGATGAAAAATCTAATCATTCCTGGCCCCTGCTCCTTCCCCTGCAGTCTGTCACCCTAGGGAAAATCGCATAGGAATACAACAGTAATGTGATTTAGCGCCTGCTGCATGCCAGGTGCCTCACTGGGTTCTTCATGTGTGTGACCTCAGACCGTCCAACAACTTCATTTGGTGTGGTTTTCCCATTTTACAGAAACTTAAATTTTTTAACTCTCCCAAGGCCTCATGACTATTCAGAAGAGAAATCATATTCAACCTACAGGTCTGGAAAGTTTGTTTCTGCAGAGGGTTAGGGAAACAGCCCAACATCCTCTCTCGGCCACGTTGGTGTTTGAAGACTCACAGATGATGCTCTGGTTTGCAGAGCTCACTGGTGTCTTCCCATCAGATTTCAGCCCAGTGCTTCCTCCTGCTCCGTGCCTATCCTGGTTTGTCTTCTCTTGAGCCAGTGAGCCAGTCCCTATCCATTTTCTTTTCTCCCTCACCCCCTAATGTCATTTTAGAATTGCAGAACTTTCCAACCAGAAGGAAACATGGACTTTTCTGAAGCAGAAAGCCTAAATAGCCTGTTCGCAATGGCAAACCCTCTGGGGCGAGAGATGGCATCCACACCTGCGCCTCCCCCTGTGGAGAGCCCTTGGCACTCATCGGAGCTGGCCCCCAGGAGCACAGATCCTCTACCTGTAACCAAAGCCTGGCAGGGCAGCCAGCGCTCCGCCCTCACTGCGGGTCCTGTGCGCCCCCTAACAATCGGTGTTCCTTTTAGTTACGTTCTGCGTCGTGATAAGAACGCCTGACTGCACTCTCTGCGTTGCTGGGCCCAAAGCACTGTAGGCTCCTGTCCCCAGTTCACGTATTAGAAAACTAGGGTCTGAGAGAGCCATCTCCAATAGTTAATACATTTAAGAACTATGTATTTGAGAACATCTGCCATTCACTTTATAAGTATCGCTGATGCTTAAAACATATTAACGTAAGCATTATGTCTATTTGATAGAAACAGAAATAGGTCCAGGCAGGTTAAATGACATACCGAGTTATATAGTAGATGACACAGTTAGTATATGGCAGAGCCAGGTTTTGAACTGGAGGCTGTAACACCAAATCTCTCCTTTTTGTGTCATGCGTGCTGCTAAGAGCATATGGTAAGGAAGCGATGGGGTTCTGATCCCAGCCTAGGGTTTTGACATCTAATCCAGTATTCTGTCCTTTATAATGTACAGACTGAATAATCTCAAAAACTACTGATTTATATGCAGACATATGCATATTCACAAACAGTTTTAAACACCATTTAATGTAAATAAATCATAATTTTACCCAAAGGACCAATGAATGTACTTTCAAACTTTGTGGTTATTTTGAAAATACACAGTTTTTATTTTCATGTTGTAAACTATGAGCACACTTGCTCTCATTAGAAGAATAGAGTGCTGTTCAGAATATTGGATAAAGACCCCATGCTGTTTAAGAGAGTTGTTAGTATTTTGTTTTTTGTTTTAAGGTGCAGAAGAGGCTCACAGTCAGTTTGGGTGTTATTGCAGAATTGCAGTCCCAGCTTAGTTCCCTGAGAGTCCAAATTTATTATAAGAAAATGCTGGCAGACATTTTCAACTTGAAAAATGACTACTGATCCCAGTTCAGGCTAAATTCATTCTAAATTTGTTCTGCTGATTTAGATGTTTGCAAATGAGGAGGAGGGACGGGTTATGCTGTCTTTATTAAATGCATGTCATGCTCCAGATAAAAAGCTGTGTTCCTCACCCAAAGCTGATGTTTTGTTCCTCCCTGGCTTTGCCTTTTAGTTGAATGCACTGCTAAGCATAGAGAAAGACTTACCCCAAGTTCTAAGAACCCCCTTCTTAAAGAACTGTTTCACTTGGCATTTCCCCTTGGATGCTTCAAAACACCTGCCCTTCAAGGCAAATGGCATATCGGGCCCACGGTGAGTCACCCTGATTAGTGGTCTCCAAGGCCCATTCACATAGTAGGACTGCAGCTCTCAAACGTCCTTCCACTCTCACCCCGACTGAACTCTGCTAACGAAGGGAAGATGACTTACAAAGTGACTTTGCACAATCACATTATCTGCTTTTATATTCTTCTAGAAAAGAAGATGAAAGAAATTGGCCTTCTTCCCTTTTTCTTTCTGGTGATGAATCTAATTCCTCCGGCTTAGAAAAGAGTGCCCTCAGAGCTTTTTTTTTTTTTCCTCCAAGGCTGGAAATGAGCCAAATGGCTTGGGTGCTGCTTTAGGTAATCAGCGGAGCACCCCCGCCCCCGCCCACCCCTGGCTCAGCCCAGGCCTGGCGGGGCCTGCAGGAAATAACCACGCTTCTCAGAGGGAGGTACAGTTCAAGGAGTTGGC